CAAAACTTAGGCAGGAAAACGATTAAGGTCATCAGCCAAAGCTTCTGCCTCCGAAGTCTGATCTCAAGACAACAGGGAAATGACAACTACCTGTTTTACCGAAATGGATGCCACCACATTTACAACCCCTAACGTTAAGTGCTAGGAGAATGAATTCATCTATCTCTGACCATTCTGGTAGGAGTAGCTCTCATTTATCCGAGGGCACCACTCACTATGGCTCAATGTGTCGAAGGTGTAATTAGACCGTCGCACCACGTTCAATGTCGTCGTACTTGATTGAGATCGACTGTGTGTTGAATCCACATTTGCTGTGCGATACAGCAGCTGTGACATTTTTACCTAAGACTATGGAATACTTAACATTTTCATAGGTTTTAATTGCCATGTGATAGATGCGCTATAAGCTTTTTTTGATCGATCTACTGATCGGGTTTATTTAAAAGTGGTATGTAGATCTGGTGATACAGTTTTCAAACACGTTGACCTATCGCTTGAGACTAAAGACCATTTACGAATGTATCACGAATAGCGTCTTCGCCATTCTTCTATGTTGCTGTTCTGAAGTTACGATCCTGCGCCAGTGATTTCAAATTATGCATGATTTTGCTCAAATTTTGGTCCGCACTTCGCTTACTACTAGCTAGTATGTGGTATAGAAAGATCTCATTTATTTGTTTTCTATAGACGGTATTGTGTGTTTTGATGACTAGTTCGTAATGTAATCGAGGGATACGTAGTACTCCGGAATCCGTGGCATATTGAGCAGAAAATGAGTCGAGTCAAAAACAAGTAAATATATCACACCAACGGGCCTACTCTTTCACCGAGTCAGCGTCGTTGTGGTACATATCGAGATGTTTTGACTGGGGACCAAATCCATACCTTACTCAGTGAATTGTCATTGAGTTGAATGAAGCGGTAGACACCGAGTGGAAGAAAAGTGGCGTTAGCAGTGCGCCGGCACATCGTCATCGACGCTTCACTGACACACGTTCACCCATAGTCGCGCAAGGGTTTGGTATACCGCGAGGGCCCACGCCTACGCGGATTCGAACGGCGGACCTCCGGATTACAACGCAGGTGCGCAATCCTTTCTACTCATCGTATGAGAAGGATCTGAGTCTAAACGAGTAGGCTTTATTTAGTGAGCAACTGAGGTCTGTAGACTGAGATTAAACACAACGGTTATTGTAAACGGGAGCTCTTGCTTGTGGCAATTTCAGTGTCACCGAACCAGACGCTGGATGTTCAAAATTCTAGTGAATTTGCTGGAATACAGGAGCGGAAACTTTACTAGCACAGACCAAAATGGATGTCTGAAAAGTACGCCACCGAACGTATTTCCTGGTTTCATAACGGGAAAGGCTCTCTATGTGGAAGTAACCGTGAGTAACTTCCGTCTTCTCTCAGCTAAGCTTAAGTAGCCGTCATGGAGTAACTGCTGCAAATGGAGGTTCTGGGGAAGTCACATGGTTCCCCATTAAACACCTCAAGCGCACGTGTATTACAGTATATGAACGCATGATTGCTGCCATATACCATTCACTTTTGCAGCGTGAGATGAGTGCACAATGGATGGCGAGTAAACAACCGATAGCTACCGGCTTTCGTGTGCGCTCATCGTTCGAATATCAGAACAGCGTATGTGCCACGTAACCATCACCAATCGTTCGTGAGTTAAGGATACTGCGTGCGTCGGCCGGTCCACTACGCAGACTCGAACCGGTGACCGACGGATTGCTAGGCAGATGTCTTGTCCTTTTGGCGAAATGTCGGCAGTAGACAAGGTAACGAAATATACCACCAGATTGATGGAGTGGCCATGGAATCTCCTTTTGGGCCTCTTTTGGCTGAATTCTTTGTGGCAAAACTAGAACAGGGCTCACTAAGAACATATCTTAATGACATTGAAATGTATGTACGATATGTCGATGACACGTTCGTACTGTGCAAATTGGAAAAGCAAGCTGTGCAGTTGTTGGAAGTCTTTAATGACGCACATGTGAATCTTCGCTTCTCCTGCGAACAAGAGCCTAGCGGTCAGCTTTAATTTCTAGCTATAAACACTATCCGAAATGCCGATGAGTCTTGAAGCAGAAAAATACACAGGAAAAGCACTTGGACTGGACACTATATTAACTTCCACATCGTGGTACCTGCAGTAAAACGGAGCCTTCTGGGCGCGCGGTATCTACACACCAGATACCATCAGTGATGAACTGCAGATCAGCGATGCCCTTAGCGAAAATGGTTTCCCGGACAAATTTATCCGGAAGCACCAGGGTATGTCATCGTAAGTCACCTAGGACCATTGCTCCGAAGAAAGAACTTTTCATGCATTTGCCATTCAATAGAGATCCTGTCACCGATATGTTATCCGGACGCCTAAAAGAGTATGTTGAGAATACCTATTCCACAGCTCGTTTGAGACTAGTTTATTACAATAAGCCACTGGCTGCCAGGCCCTTGAAAGATAAAGTACCCTGGTTGGCTCGATCAATGCTTGTTTGTCAGTAATGCTGCTCCTGGGGCGCATGATACCTCGGTCGCACTTCGTGGCGTTTATCCCAGAGGATCCGTTAGCATATCCAAGTATGGTTCTACAGAGGCGAAATGAAAACTTCAGACATCTCAATTTTGTCACAACTTGAATACAGTCATGCAGCATCAGAGAACGACTCACTGTCTGAACGTTACTCGCGATTCTTCCGCAAACAACTGGTACCTATTGTCGAAGCCACATACCTTCGCCACTTGAAACCTGAGTTATGTGTTCAAACAAATACCTGCAGTTTGTGTTGCCTCAGTTAACGCATAGTGTTACATAACTATTTGATTATCATTCGAGCTGTCTATCTTGATTTTTTCGAGTGATTGTGCTTATTATTCCATTCGTTGACTGAGTACATTATCTGTAGCTGTGACTTATCGAATCCATCGTTCCACCTGCGTGTAATCAATATTTAGCTCTTTCCGGCGCTTTTACATATAACCCATCATGTCAACGTAAGCGTCTGATGTGAATTTGCCCGAAAAGAATTCCTCGCCCACATTTCTGTTTCTGGTATTGATTATAAACAATGAAATGAGAATAATTGCTTTGCTGGAGCTCAGCATATCCTGTGGTTCACTCAATCTTATGAGTCATTTTGTTAACAGCTGTCTTCTCGTATTGCAACTGGTTAGTTGGTTCGGAGGAAGTTTCCTCGTCCCTATGTTGCCACACTAGAGCTATTTGAAGGTTCTAAACCGTTTATTGCTGCTCGAAAGCCGTGTTTTCCATAATCTTTTCTCATATTGTCCACTCCACTCGGCGCGTAGTCTAAAGGTAACGAGCTTGTACTCTGGCGGCTCGGGTTGGAGCCTGCGTGGAGGCAGGGCGACCCTCGCAGTATCCTCAGCCCACGTGCGACCGGTGGTGGTTGCGCAGCAGCAAAGCGTCGGTACTGTGTACCGGCGTACCGCTGATGCCTCTCACACTGTCGACACAGATGGATTTTTGTCCAATGGGTGCTCGAGATTCGTCCCGATGATGTACTTTACTGATCAGATCGCTCCTCATATTATTCACCTTTTCAACTGCTTTATATGCCGCACTTTTTACCACATTTCAGTGTAACTTTAACGAGCTACACACCCAAAATACGCTGTCGTCTACAAAATATCTTTTACACGCTTCTCATACGGAAACGTGAGAATAGTTCGAAAAATTGTCTCTTGACAGTTTTCTCGAATTGTTAAAAGTGTTATTTATATGATAATTGGATAAAGTTTGTAGGATCGGCCGCTTTGGCATGTACTTTGAGGCTTCAAAGTGCAAGGTATTGTTGCAGGACTGGACCTATATGTCTCCTGTTTTAACTGTCAACGAACAACCACTCGACGTAGTGTATCTGTTGGCTTAAGCAGCAGCAGTACGGCAACACCCCGTACTGACATTTCGCTGCCACGCGACCACCGCCGGTCGCGTATGGGCTGAGTATACCGCAAGGTCACCCATACCTACGCGGATTCGAATCGGTGACTTCCAGATTACGAAGCAAACGCGTAATCCTTTCGGCTACCAGCGGACATCTGTTTACCTACCTTAGTAGTTCTGTGATCCCTGGTGGTCACATCACTGAGGTCACTTCGCTTGTCGCCAACGGCTGTGTGGCTTACAAGGGACTCATCCATGTATGGAGACGGCGAGATACCAGTCTATCAGTGAAACATAAGTTGTATAACGCTGCGATAAGACCGGTGTTATTGTATACATCAGATACCTGGCCAGTTTGCAGCGAAGACATTATACGCTTGACTATGTTTGACCATCAGTGCTTGCAGATTATTACTCACATCTGCTTGGAGCATTGGGTGACCAATGCTGAGTTCCACCAGTTGATTTTTGACAAATAGCCTTCAGATTCCTCATCCGAATCTCTGCTCAACCGCTTTCCTTGGCTAGGTCATGTCCCCAGTATACTCGCCGATTAGCTTTCTCGGCGTGTTTTATGCTATTGCTGCACTAAGTTTGGTGAAACAGCGAGGTGTCCAATCGATGCTGAGAGATTTAGTCAGGTTGCTCCATGTTGCCTTCCTTATCATGGGTCTGTCTCTGGAATGATCCACACCGGTGATGGGAAAGCGTATCAGACATGATTCAATCGCGCAGCCAGTGACATTACTGCATTCGGTTCCTTGGGTCTGTCTGATACTGTTACATCTGCCTAATTTTATTCACCTCCTTAACTCCCTTTTCTTTGCTTTCTACCTCCCGTTCTCACCTTTGATGTCCACCGTTCTCCTGGCAACACGACCGAAGCAGTTGGTGCTGGAATTTTTCCGAGAATTGAACTGAACTTACCATTCAAATTCTACCTATTCTCACATGCCTCCTTGATCGAGTGTACCGTTTGTATGTCTTTTCACTGTCCAGCATCAAATAGCACTGCGTGTCTTCTTTTTGTTCCTTCACTCATTCTAACCAATTCGTGAATTCATTTTCAGCTCCTAATATGTATGTTTTCTTGATGGACAAAGGGCAGCTTGTCCACTTGGACTCTAGGCTGTGGTCACAAAAGTAAGCGGAACGTTTTGTTCCTCGTTACTATTCGAATACATCCATTAAGTTGATTTTCTCCGAATGTTTACTGGTGCAGTATTCTATCTCTATTTACAGTATATATACACATTGATATTTGTTTCCAGTGTGTATCAACGACAGAGATATTTACCTGATCACGACGTTGCAATAACAATTTACTTTAATTGAATACCTTCTTGTCCATCCTTTCACATTACGGACAATGCACCGCCCACTTGCTCTTCCGTCGATAAATGTTGCTAAAACAGCTCTGTCCTAGCTTCACTCATCGTCGTGCCCTCTTTCGTCTGTTTCAACTTAATCATCGCAACCGTTTGCATGTTTTGGGATTGGTCACGCTTTCTATCACCTTTATCCATAAGTTGTCACTTAGAATCCACATCTATTATAGGACGCTGGTATCTTCGCGAAGAGATTTATGCATCGAGACTGCAGATTTGACAAACGACAACTGCCTCAACTGATGACAAGTTTCAGGGAAAGTTATGGCTCCGAGAATCATCCCTGTCCTCTGCACCTTCGTAACATATACGAGAACAGCCGATAAGTGTTGTTCCGCAGCCAGTACTCATTTAGAGAAGTTCACTGTCATCAGTTACTGTCTTGTGGCACACGTCAATGACTTCTAAGCATCAGTGGTGAATTTGACTCCCGAACCAGTCAGGGATTCGTGATGTCGACGAGTCCCAGTTGGACGAGACAGCCATGTAGCATTCTTTCGGGTGTGCTTAGGACTGTGTGATTGGGAACTGGCGGCGACAAAACTTGCCAAGCGACCATCACCTCGTTACGCCTCATGTGTGCAGACCAACACGTCGGACTCAGGCCAACCATCGCAGTAAAGATGGACTTTAACGTGGTGCGATGGTTTGCTTGCCTCAGAGATCCATTGAACTATGCTGGGTAGTGCTTCTTGCATCTTCAGAGTCACTCATGCCAGATTTACCAATGGTTAGAAGCCAGACAAACTCAGTCTCATGACCCTCCAGGTTGGGCGTTGGAGTGAGCGTGGCTCCTTACTCCGTGAAACGGACTCTCTGCAGTCCATTGCCAAAACACCGCGCCCTTGCGGTCAGGTCTTTCGGGTTCTTTTTCGGGTTGCGTAAACGCTCACTAAATACAGTAAAAGGTCGATGGTTGCATATTCACTAGACCTTCTTAGCTGCTGGCAAATCTTTATGGGTTAAATCCAATAGCCAACCTAGACATTCGGTCTCTACGCAGTCTTTGGGTCTTATGGAAACTCGCCCGTACATTCCAGCTGGAAGCTAACAAATGAGACTCGCAAAGACCTCAGGGTAAAGCTGCGTGCTTGCCTGAAGAGCGACTGTGAATACTGCTGATCTCATGGTGCATCAGAGATGAGTGATATCAGCACCTGTGGAATCGAAGCTGAGGTCACGAACCGTATAGCTTAAGCTCGAAGCGCTTTTGTTAGCGTTCGCCACCTGTGGCACCGTTGCGAATTCACTTCGCCCTGAAGAGTAGAGTGTACAATGCAGCCGTGTGGTCGACCCTACTGAACGGTTGTGGAACTTGGCCCATTATATCGACAGACGTAGAGAAGCTTTCTAATTTCAAGCACTGATGCCTTCGCATTTTTTGTCATATCTGATGGGAACACCACATGAGCAATGAGCGTGTTCGGCGACTTGTTTATACCACAGGAAACGAAAGTGAACCGCTTAGCACCGTTATTTCATGAACCGGGCTCCGATGGCTGGGCCACGTGTTGCGCTTGCCAACACACCAACTCCGGCGACTTGCATTGTTTGCGCGACCCAGGTGTGGATGGAACAAGAGTGGACACACCAAGCGAAGGTTTAATCGTTAGAAATCACTGTCATTAGTTTGAATTGGGCTTCAGTTCCTCGGCTGGGATGCAAAAGACGATGAACACGTTTGGTTAGATACACTTGTTGACATGGATAGGAGCCGACCTCAGTGGCGTTTGTGTTGCGAACCTCTTTGTCACCCTCCCGCTTAGCCTCCTCCTCCGACCACGATATCACTTCTGACACATAATATAACTTTTTGCGACACATTAGCTGGCTGCTAACTCTTCGGAACGATGTCCATTCGCTACCGGTGGTTCAGCTGGCGTCCCACTGTTGCGTCACTTTCCTTTTCTCTTCTATTTCGACACAGTAGCTGTGGTGTTTCCCACCTCTTACTAACGCGCATAATGATGATGATGGTGACTCATATCAAGCCAAAAGGCTGTTTCCATTCAAACGTATTATTACATCATTGATGTTAAGCTAGACCAAATTATTTATCGTCATGTAATCCCAAAGCAGTTACCAGCCGACTCAATGTTTTCATAAGTGAGTCGTTTTACTGATTGGAGTTCACACCTTTATCACTGCTACTAACCCCCTTAGCATTCTTCATCTTTTTGACTTATGGATCTGTATGATTTGACAACATTCTGGATGATCAGAGTGGAGTTGACTGTCCTCGCAACACTTTTGGCCTACTTGGCTAGCCTCTTTTCTCGTTAGTTTATGATGCCTGTTGTTATATCCTCAAGCATCTCAACGCGCGCCCTAATCGGCTGACCCGAGGACATTCCATGTAATATGTCGTTAACCACAGTGTGTGGCTCCTAACTACAAGTGATTATATTTTCTCGGATAAGAAGGGTTCAGTTACTGAAGCCGACATCCTTAATAGGAGCAATTTGCCTTCTTTGACAAATGCAGTGGGAGGTTATCGTTCCGAACAAGGTGACGTGTCAGTTGTAGTGCCATGATAAGCTACTCGGTGCTTGTTCTTATGATTGTTTGTTCCAATCCCTGTGCTGAGAAAAATAGTGGGTGCTTGAATCTGAGCAAACCGATCTCAAGCGGTCAGCAGCGCTGACGTCTAGAGCTGATTTGTTGTAGTTTAGTTCTAGCTTATCCTTATTATCCCCATCGAAATCTTCGTTTTGTATTCCTTATTGTCTCAGGTATGCTCGCACTCTTAACGAAAGGAAGCATGACCGATTGAGTCGAAGCGTCTCATCCGACCGATGGTGGAACAGTTTAGGCGTCTGGGCGACTTGACAGTATTTCAGCCCGCACGAGGCATCGGCACAAAACTGTGGTATACTATTGCGACCTTTTTCTTTGCCATTAAGGCACCTCGGTGCCCAGGTTGACGTTGAACGGTTTTATGATACCGTATGCTCACAATCGCGTCTCTGTTGCCGGATTTTGGTAGAGCACGATCAAGAGTGCCCCGCCACCTTCGGGAGTATTGGTCATCTGTCAACCCTGCCTTTGCCATAGCCAGTCTGTGGCCGAAAGAACAATCCGGAGGTCGCGGGTTCGAGTCTGCGCACTTCTTGCGCGACTGGTGGTGGTTGCGTGGCAACGAAGCATGTGTACGGCGAACTAGCCTACTGCTGATGTCTTTCTTACGCAGTGCAGTGGCTGGGTCGTAGCCAGTTCCAATGTATAGAACCGCTCTTTGAGCACACGGATTGTCAACTCTCATCAAGCTCAGCCAGACCTGGAGTACCAATCATCATGCGCCAACGTGAACCTACGACAACATGTACAGCCTGGTGACAGCGAGGGCGTAGAGCGCATACCACCAATACTCCTTACTTCTATATATTGGATATAAGTAAGGTTGCATCACGTCTTCACCATAATCGGTAAAGGTTTTAGCAACTCACGTCAGACTTTACAACACGTGCGACAACATTTCGGTGATTCGACCGACAGAGTCGTACATTTACCTAGATAAGTTAGAAATTGATTGAAAGCAGCTCTGATGAAAACAAGCTATCGTAGTAGACTTTAGCAAGAGGTCGCTCCAGGACTTCTTACGCTCTCGGGTGTCGCACTATGAGGAGTTTTAAGTAAAAGTGAATTTCTGTAGTTGGCACTCAGAAGTTTGGTAGCGTCGCAAACAACCGCGCATGGACTTCCAACCAACGTCTGCTGGTTATGATAGGCCATGTGTGTGTGTGTGCATGCATGCGTGATATTCCAGCACATAAACTCTTAAGCTGTGATCAGTGCAGCACTTTCTCAGATAGAACCCGGGTTGGTCTTTGTCAGTTTAACTTTTTCCAGACCCAGTAGATTGATGAGGAATGGTGTGCGCAGACCATCAGGGCTACTGCCTCTTTTTTCTCAAACGTCATTCCCCAACATGTTTTGGGGCGGGACGACACCACTGACAGTAACTTCTTTGATACCGCATTGCTTATATTACAGGAAGTGACGAATCCTTACCCTCTTTCAACAAATATGGTGAAAAACTGGCGAATCTTGGTTATTTACTTTCTCTCCATGTAGTTAGATAAAGTGAAATCTCTCTCTCTAAAGGGTGCGGGTGTACAGACATTGAGATAAAGCAGGCCTACTCACCTGCTCCTCGAAATGCGCCATATCCGAAGTTCGAGCCAACGTGTCTGAAGATGATCTTGTTTCTTATTCTCATATGTGCTTTCACGCACCGGAGCCTTTCTGAGGACGGTATTCTGCTGTTCTCACTTGATTTATCCTCTACTATTTCGATGATCTTGGGTATACACAGTATTGCTCCTTGTCAGCGCATCTCTAGAACGTTGCAAACAATTGAGGTATTGGGGAAATCTTCTTTCTTGTCTTATAAGCCGATGATTCATTTCCTCGCTAATCTATGAAAAGCGCATCTTCTTATTGAGTCAGTGTCGAGGCCTAGTACAGTCGTCGTAGCTCAGCACGTCTCTGCCTACTTCACCGGAGTTGTTATTCATCCACGCTACTTCGTTTGTGATCCCGCTTTGCTCGAAATTTTCGCGTTTAGTTTCGTCATAACGCGCACAACTTTTTCCCTCACCTTATCGCTAACCACGAAGCCACATAAGCCACTGTAACCTCTAGCCTCATTTGAGTTCTTATCAATTGAAGCAATGCTATTCTCTTATTGAATCTTGGGGTACCTACGATGTGTTTCGATTGCGATACGCAACTCCAGTTTGTATCACCGATTTATTCGGAAGCGAACTGGATAAGAGTCCGAACAAGGACAAAATTGACCGTAGAGTGTAAAGTGCAAAACCAGCAACATTGAATAATCCTTACTCAGGCAACCGAAAAAGAAAAAGAAGGCATCAAAAGCACGCCAGCCCTCCATGCCGATGTTTCCCTGCCACGCTATCACCAACAGTCACGCGTGGTCCGAGTGATATCGTGTGGTCGCTCGGACCTACGCGGATTCGAACCGGTTATCTTCGGATTACAAGGCAAACACGTAATCCTTACGGCCACTGGTCGACTGAGCTTTAGTTCAGCGTGAATATTGGTCTACATTGAGACACCCAATCCCGGTATAGTGTGCGTACTCCGAAACGCAAGCATACATTTCAGCTCTCCGTGTCCCGCGTTGTTCGCGTAGCTTAATAGCCTGTGGATACGTGTCGGGTTCCATTCCTTGCTGCTGTTTTCTCCACTAGGATGTCAAAACAAGGACATAACCGGTCTTGGAGATCACTATTGGGAGCGAACAACAACACAATCAAAATCGTCTGCATCACGATTCTCTCTGTTGTATGATATCACAGCGTTCTTTGTCTTTTGTACTTTGCCTTATCCATTACTCCTCTTTCGTGGTATGTGATTCTCTGGTTATAATCGTTTCTGGCTGGTTAATTCAGTATTGTCATTATTTGCCTATGTATTAGTTTTCATCACCTACATTTTTGGATCATGTGGATGAAGACATCTATGGATCCACCGCACTATACACTGCTCACATAGGTGGTCTCCTGGCTAGATGCAAAAAGTTATTGTGATCATCACTTTGTAAGTAACAAGCCTTCCTAATCACTGTAGTGTCTCCGTGGACTGAAAGGATAAAGCTTCTGCCTTGCAACCCGGACGTCGCGAGTTCGAGCCTGTGTAGAGGACCGGGCGACCATCGCAGTATCCTTAACCCACACTTGACTGTTGGTAGTTGCGTGGCAGCGAAGTATCGATACGACGTATTGCTGATGTCTTTATGGGCTTGTTTAATTCTGCTCTGTAACGTCATGCACCTTGTGGAATAGTTTTCCTATCGGTCGTAACTCTCCTGCTCGTTCTCTCTCTAACTGCCGTCTACCCGCTGGTTACCGGCCGGTACATACTGGAATAAGTTTGCAGAGATCGTTATTCCCTTTTGCCTGTGGTAGTCACCTCTCGCCGTGCGTCTCACTCTCAGGAAACACACCAACGCACCAGTATTGATATCCAAACAACCTGACACTCGGTTGCTCCTTTGGCGAATACCATCAGTATTAAGCTCAAGATAAATAATAAAATAAGATAATGTGTCAGCTGTACGCTGTAACGGCGCTTCGCTGCCGCGCGACCACCACCAGTCACGCGCGGGCTGAGTATACCGCGAGGACGCCCACCCCTACGCGGATTCGAACCGGTGACCTTATGGTTGTAAAGCAAACGTGCAGACCACTCGGCCACCGGCCGACAGTATTGGGCTCACTGCTATCGGACTTATCGGTGACAAAACCTTTTAGCCTGGACTACTTCTGCCTTCTTTATCCCACTCGCCCATGACGCAATCAGATAGAGAGCGTTTGCTGGAGTGGACAGTTGACTCGTAACTTCCAACATAATCATGAAAACAACCGGCGCTGTATGTGAATATTTCGTTCCGCATTTGAGAGGGACTTTCACGAAATTATCGTCTCCCACATCAGTTCTCCGACTTTGGTTTAGGTGCCCAATACGTTTATTGCTTTTCTCTTGAATTCTGAACAGTTGACAAAACTCGTAGCAAAATGTGTGCACTGGTTCATCTTAATGCGCTTCACGGTTTGTTAGATGGAACCTCCATCCATCTTAATAAATAAATAAATAAAGTGCATATTTTCGACCATGCGAGAAGCTGCTCTCTGGAAGAAACAGATCAAAAATGGTCACCTTTTTTCATGCCATTACACTAACAATGTTTCAAAAATAAATATGGGCACAAATTTCAAAGTTAGGTAACACAAGATAATCAAAATTGTTCTGCTGTTTTTCCACCTGTCGATGTATCAGGGTTCTTCACAATCACATGAAAGATGTTCGGTCCGAGAAAAAATGAATTGAAATAGGCTATGGTCCAAAAAGTTATATGCATGTCTTGTTCGTAATTTAGTCAGGCGCCATTGATACCGTTCTCGAAAGCGTTATTCAAAGATTGTTATGTCACGAAAATATTAATTGCATTTTGGATAGTTAACTGTCTATTAATCACAGGCTTAAAATTACGCAGTGTATATCATGTTCTACTACCTCTCGGAAGTTTGTTCTAAATCTTTGCGTAGTGGATCAGAAAGTCCTCTGATGCTCGTAGTAAATTCTGAAATCGTGACCTTTATCTTTCTTGCGGATCGGGTATCTGCTGTTTATAGACATGTGGATGCCGACATCGTAACTGTGAACTTGATAGCTTATTATTCTGTACAGAAAACATGGGTTCAGCTTCATTCTTCGAAGGCAGACTGGTTCAAATCCAACCTTATCGCAACGCTCTCTCTGTGTCATCTTCGTGGAATAGCCACATATCTGTTTTGTGAAGCGTCGCTGGACCCTCCCAAGAGCACACTGATCAAATTTTCGCAGATTCGATTGGACCAATGAGCAGCATTCCATACAAGATACTACATATGTTTCGTAAGGGTAGATGCGAGACTTCTTGGGAAAACAACGATGGCAAATGTATCCGATGGCCTTCGAAACTTGAAAGTCACGGTGCTCAGAAAGTTTAAAGATAACTGCATGTCGTACTTCCAAATCGCGAACTGCTCTGAATTGCGATATGTATGTGCCTTTCAGTAATAGACTGTATGGCAAATGACATCTGTCACAACTGACACCAGGACTCAAATGCAGATGGGTCCTCCTGGACGAGGTCTACAGCGGCATAGTCTTGTGAGTAGACAACTTGGATGTCATCAGCAAACGAAAACGTTACATCATGTCTTACAGTATGGTGATTGGGACGAATCTGTCTTCTATGCTGTAGGCTGTTCACTTAGCAATCCAGATGCTTCTGTTCTTGCTCTTTATGCACAATTATCATTATACCAAACAAGTATTGTTTGTATGCTGTAGTAATTTATGCTTAACCTTTTTATTCTCCCTTTTTCGGCATTAGAAATGTGACCTTTTCATACTTGTCTTTGGTTTAGGCATTTTCGTTACTAACCAGCTTCCTTGTATTCCAGTGTCTCCAGTCTGCGCAACGCCTTGGCCGAAGAAGTGGGCTTGCCTTTGGAGAAGCAGATTCTCCTGGTGTCAGGTGGATTCCAATTGGAGCCTGGTGACAAGCTGTCCGAGTACGGTGCCGGGATGGTGAGTTCTTACTTTTCAACGCTCTCCTCATATACCATCCTACATTGTGACTGATTGGTTCACTGGAAATCGACAATTTGTGTCTGGTCGCTCCGTATCACCACGCCCATCACGCTATTTGTGCTACCATGCATCTGGCGCACCTGTCCGTTAGCCGGGTCTCAACCAAACTTTGGTTATCGGCATCCGGCCACCTTCTCGCTTAACATGCCGACACGGATGGCCGAATTCGGTTCAGCCGTTGTTTCTGGACATTAGGATCCCATGTTGACATGACTGCCGCATGTGTGCATTGTTATGTGCAGTTTCGCTCACACACACACACACGTAAAGAGCAAATACCTTTGTATCTAATCGTTATACGCGTTAACTACGGAACCACTTACTGGATGTCCTGCTGTCCGCTGATGTTACACTGGTATTATGGTATGGATTTGAAATCGCATCACTCTGTTGACACCCACTTTTGTGAGGACTATTTACTGGTTTCGGTGGATGACGGTCGCGCGAAATTCATTTTCCTCTCCATTCCAAACTCCAAAGACTTGGGAAAAACGGGACCTTCTGCCAAATCTTTTACTCACGCTCTAACCGGAGCGTTTTTCTGCTCAAAACTGATTATCAAGTGTTGCCCGCCCGTTATTCGTTGGCCACAGAGGTAGAAGTTTCGACTGCTACCCCAGTGGTCTCGGGTTCCATGCATGCTATCTTTATCTGGTGAGATCAAATAAGATCAAAACGCGTCATGAAGTGCAGTGTTTTCGGGCGGCCAACACCTACTATCCACCTGCTTAATCATCACGTAATTCCACAGCAACTTATGAAGATTCAAAGCATGGTGGACCAATTAGAAGCTGCGCTGCATCGGTGGGGAAAAAGGCTAATTAGATTAACTTAATTTACTTATAATTAAAAAACCTCGGCAGGTTTCGTCTTCACTTGGACTTCCAGATAGGGATAGCCGTAGTTGAGATTACGTGTCTCAATGCAATCACAGGATAGATACTTTAATACTAAACAATACCAGCTATTTCTGCGCTTGATCAGGCTTAGAATAGTCAGAACACTGACGTCACTGTTCCGGATAGCGTCTATTCACGTGATACAAGCATTTGCTCGACAGAATGGGGTAAGGCAACGCGGCAAACAGCGCGTCCCGTGATCAGCGACGTTACCCACAGCTGAAGCAAATGGGAGAATAAAGTTCAGGTTCAGCACCGCGTTGCATTGTGTTTGATAAGCCCTTGATAATCAGGTTGTTTTCGTCGAACTGATTTTCAAAACAGCTTTACCTTTTAAAAACATGACTACTTGTAACTCTTTCTCTGTGTTCACTTGTAGGGCGTTTTGCCATGGGTTGGACTCGATTATCCCACCGACTAAGGCGAAGGTTGATGTCGACTTCAGCTTCTGTGCGTGCCCAATGGTTTTCGTGTAGGGTGGAGCGAGTGCATCCAGCCATTTGTTTGAAATTGTCGATGACTCGCGTCTTCCACTAAGCCTATGTGCCTCTGATATGGCTGGTCTTGATGATTGGTCCATGTTTACTGGTTTATTAACGCGTCCTATGGTACTCGACCTCGGTGAGCTATAACGACCTACTCGCTTCACTCATCGTACCCGTGCCTGGTATTCCTTAGCGTACATAGGAGTATCAGTATTGTTGATGTAAGAGCATTCAGTGCGGGAGGCAGATACGGTGGATCTCTCTTCGATGCAAGGGCTTGGTGCACCGCGGAGTTTGCGGCCCATCAGAGCTCTGGTTGTGTAGCGAACATCGCGCCGCAAACAGGAACACTTGTGCTATCTCATCCTTAGTCTCCTCACAGGTCTCCAGAAGTATTCACTTGAAACTATCGACGAAGCAATCATCTGTGGGTCATCATCATCAATAGCAGTGCATCAGCCATTTGAACTGATGCTTCATGGCCGTACAACTACAACAACCTACGGAACGAAGAACAGTAAGGGGGAGAGAAGGTGGACCTGGCGTAATACCTCAATACCCTAAGCAAACACTCAGGATCAAGGCGCCTACACCTTGTGTTAACAACATACCGTCACAAACAACTGGCTATCATGCAAAGATAAGGAGGTGTTAGCAAGACAGCTTTTTTGGGGCTTTCATTACCCTACGTTATAATCAGTCATTACCTCGCAGATAACAGCACCAAACTTTAAACAGGCAGTCTGACTAGGAGACGTCAGCAGACGTGCCACTGGTACGGATTGCGAGCCATGTCCTGTAACGTCTCGAGCCACGCACAAGGCGAGTCACGTGGACTCCAGCCTGGAAGGCGGGACGGACCGACGGCACCCAGTTTGGTTCTCAGTGACTTCATTTCCCGCTGCCAAGTCAACTTCTGTCCACCTCGAGCTTTGCGCCACCCTACACCTGGTAGACTAAACAAGGCCCTCCTAGGTAAGTGGTGACCAGGTATACGTAGTGTGTGCGCAAGCCAACGCAACTAATTCAGCGCTATCTGTTGTGTTAGGTAATTAGCTTGCGTATCACTGCCTAGTACTCGCTTATGCACATCATAGTTGCGGACACGCTGGTGCCATCCGACACCAGCAATGCTTCGCATACAGCGATGATCAGACTTGAAGTCGCCACACATCGTAGGGGCCACGTCTCGCTTCCATAAACTAGGGCAGCTCTTTGTGGCCTTGTATACACCACTTAGTAAATGGACGCAAACCCCTTTTTGACGCCACTAATGTCATGAATTCAAGTACCCACTTCCAACTTTTGCAATGCATGAACTGTCTTCAGTGGTTATGCGCCCATCATTGCTGATGCAGCTACCAAGGTAGGTGAATTGATCAACTACCTCGAGTTCCTCGCTATCAAGAGTCACGGGGTCATCAAGTTGCTGCTGGTCCTACACCACCTTACACTTTGAAGGTGTGAAGCGTATGCCAAATGATGAGGGAATGCTTGTGAGGTTAATCAGGCTTGATCGGACCGCCACAACCTTTTTCAAATGCAGCGCAATATCGTCCGCATACTCAACACCAACTAGCTTTTCACCAGACAGCACCTTAACGCCTGCATTTTATGGCTCCGCAAGGGAGCACTCCATGATGAAGTCAGCGACGTAGTTGAACAAAAATTGGGAATTTGGACAATTCTGACGAATGCCACTTTGTCGGAAAGGCATTCAGCAAGTCACCGTAGACACTGACGCGGCTTGCGGTGTTCGAGTATAGAGCACATAAATTGGTCACATATTTCATGGGAACATCTTTCTGCGTATTTCGAACAGAATATATCGATCGACTGAGTTAAATGCACTTCTGAAGTCGAGGAATACAGCTGTTGTCGGTCTGTGGTATGTGTGTCGCTGCTCCAGCACCTGTCGCAAAGTGAATATGTGATCTATACAGCCCCATCCCGGACGGAAACCTGCCAGATCTTCGCTACTCCGGGATTCCCCTTCCGCAGTGAGGGGACCAACGAACGAGAATCGAGGCCAGTAATTTCGTCACAACTGGCGTTAGGCTAATACCCCTGTGATTAGCACAGTCGGTGGGACTTCCCTACTTGCATATTCCCATTATAATCCATTCATTCCAGTTAGCTGTGACAGCCCCTTCCTTCCAGATCCGTTGAAACACGGAGGTCAGTGCTTTGCAGAGGACCTCACCACCATTCTTAACTTGCGCTGTTGTGATGGAATCCGGGCCAGCAGCACGAAAACGTTTACGGACTGCGACCGCATTTCGAACCTCCGACTCCGACAGAGTCTCTAAACTAACCGGTCGTGATACCCTGTACCACCTGAGTAGGAAGAGGTCCGGAAGCAGGGGCTAACTGAACTACCCTCCAAAGTCCTCCGCCCAACGAGCCATCCGGCACTCCTTATTGTGAATGAGGGCACCCGCGCTGTTTGGTTGTTTCACTGACACCTGCTTTTCTGGGCCCAGTAGTGCGAGTCAGTTGAAAGAGTGTGCGATAGTTGCCCACTACTCCTACTTCCTCTATTTCTTGGCACCAACTAACCCACCATCCTTCGTTATCAACACGCAGGCTCCGCTCTAGTTCTCGCCTTATGCTCCATTTTTCATAGATCCAATCGGCAGTCTCCTTGTGGATTAGAACAGGTTCACCGACCTCTCGGATATCTAGTGACTTCTGCGTTGACGATTGATAGTGCCGCAAGCGGAGGCGCATGCATGGCGCATGACGGCTACCACTCTATTCCACTAAACCTCAGTGTCATTAGGACGAGAGGGAGAAAGTTCGGTGGGCAGGGCAACCTGTTAGGCTGACTTGATCGCGGAATGAGAGAATTTTCAGTCGCCAATCAAGGGAGGTGCTTGGTACGCCTCCCGGTAGCGTTCATGGAAAAATGACATCGTACCAAGACATGATCAGAGTCGACACATGTACTCTAGAACGAACGGCAATCTAGGATGGAACCACGTCACCTGTAACTTATGGTAACGGGATCTATTTGGGTCCATCGCTGATCAGCTACAAGAGTATGCCTAGTGGCACTTCTGTTACGGAGAGAAAGCTTACAGCCTGCGATCAAGACGAGAGCAGTGGCGTAGAAGCGGATTGATCTACAATTAGGGAACGAACTCGAGTACAGGTCAAAATGCGAATTGATGTGGACTCAGCGGCAAGTTGGGTCATGAGCTTGAGCGATTTGAGTTGTGTTAATTAACATCAATTAGCATCTCAAATATTGTTGTTTTAGCAGTGGTCCACAACCTATTTATTGCGCCATGTTCTCATACAACACGTCTCTCTGTCTACCTAGTTCTGGCCTTTTTGTATTCTGTCGGTTGGCTGGGCGCGTGGCTGAGAAGTCAGACAGTCGCAGTCTCATAGGGCAGCTAGCAACAGTACAACAGTCGTCCGTGGCAGAGAGCAGAGGTAAAGTAGAAGCGTTACAACAGTGGCGACGGTGGTGTTGAACAATCATGGCCATTTCATTCGAGCAAATGCAGTCCCTACTTAAGCAGCGGCAGCTTCAGTTTGAAAAATC